CCCCTGTGCACTTCTAGATAATTTCTGATCATCTCAGCCGCTTGGTGCTTTTGAGCTATTGGCCAGACTCTGATGCTGCCAAAAAGCTTGTTCTGGAAGAGTTGTAGTGTTCTGCTATTACTGCCAAATTAAAACCAATTTGGCTCCTATTGATATAGTTTGCACCACTCTAAAAATAAAGGAACAGCCTGTTGCTTCTACCACTGCTGTTTTTAGTAGTGGGCTTTTCAAGCCTCCCAAAGCCACAAAGACCATTCTGTTGCACCTACTGTTCCAACTCCTTTCTGTACGGCGATTGGAAACACCAAACAAGCTGTTTGCTCCCCCAAACAGCCTATTGTCTCATTTAGCAGTGGATTTTTTTTTTAACAAAAGTGTGTATCCCGCAGTGACTTGCCTTTAACCAGTTGACATCCGCGGTGTTAAACCCCCTTACCATCCAGGCCATTTTTCAGTATTCAGCGCTGCGGTACTTTGACTGACATTTATTCCGTCATGCAGCGCTGTACTGAAATTAATTGTATACCCTTTTTTGGGGACAGATAGAGCTTTCTTTTGGTGGTATTTATTCACCACTGGGGGTTTTATTTTTTTACTATATTAAGGAAAAAATTACCGAAATTTAAAAAAAAAAAACAGTTTCCCCTATATTAAATGATAAAACATTTATTATTACCCAATTTTTTGGTAAAATATATAAGATGGGGTCACGTCGGGTAAAAAGACACTAAACATGTCAAGCCTTAAAATTGCGTGCGCGCGCGAAACCTCAAAAAACGATAATACTTTTGGGCCTTTCCATGTAGCCTGGCTGGTCTTTCTAACCTGCATTTATTTTGTCCTAGTTAACCTTTGGTGTCTGGCTTCTTCTACGGGGGGGTTTTCCCCAGTTTTTTGTTGACATCCGGTTATGGGTGTATTCTTCTTTACTCAGGAATTTGTTGTTGTACCTCATTGTTGGTTAATCAGCTTATCGCTAGTTTAGATTTGGCTTTCCTTCCATGTGGAGTCATTCCTTTCTTTTACCTATTTTGACCTGGTTTAGCCTGGTTTAGATCATCGGGTTTATTCTCGGAGCTATTGGTCCTTTAGGCGGCTCCTGGGCTGCAGGCAGTCCCCAATGTTGGCCTTATTAGTGATTCTTGCTGTGTTGCCCCCTCAGTTGGACTGCTTTGGACATTCCAACTCTAGCTAAGGCCAGTCTAGCTAGGCATTGGGAGTTCTCATTTAAATTGGTCACAGGGGGCCTTTTAAGTTCTGCTCTTCCGCTGGTTTCCACTTAAGGGGTTAACACTTCGAGACTGAACCCTGACGTTATCCACTGTTGCTACTTGCTCTTTCCTTCCATACAGAATTGAGAAGGCATCTCCCACAGCTTGAGCTGCAAGTTGCCTTACTGTCGTGGTTGCAACATGTCTAATATGACCCAGAGGGGGCAGTTTCAATAAGAGCACCCCCGTCTCACACTTTACTAATGGATCCGGGGCTACTTACAGCATGCCTTATAATGGTGCCATTGTCTGCAGCCTAGAGTCATGTTGCCCTCTGTTCCTAGAGTCTGTCCTGTCATCAGAGTCCTCTCAAGCTCTGTCCAGTTCCTCTGCCCTTTTGAGGTGGTAACTGCAATCATGTAAGACGCTCGTTTTTTGCTGACTTCAGCAGCTGCAATTGCCACCCCTGTGCACTTCTAGATAATTTCTGATCATCTCAGCCGCTTGGTGCTTTTGAGCTATTGGCCAGACTCTGATGCTGCCAAAAAGCTTGTTCTGGAAGAGTTGTAGTGTTCTGCTATTACTGCCAAATTAAAACCAATTTGGCTCCTATTGATATAGTTTGCACCACTCTAAAAATAAAGGAACAGCCTGTTGCTTCTACCACTGCTGTTTTTAGTAGTGGGCTTTTCAAGCCTCCCAAAGCCACAAAGACCATTCTGTTGCACCTACTGTTCCAACTCCTTTCTGTACGGCGATTGGAAACACCAAACAAGCTGTTTGCTCCCCCAAACAGCCTATTGTCTCATTTAGCAGTGGATTTTTTTTTTAACAAAAGTGTGTATCCCGCAGTGACTTGCCTTTAACCAGTTGACATCCGCGGTGTTAAACCCCCTTACCATCCAGGCCATTTTTCAGTATTCAGCGCTGCGGTACTTTGACTGACATTTATTCCGTCATGCAGCGCTGTACTGAAATGAATTTTATACCCTTTTTTGGGGACAGATAGAGCTTTCTTTTGGTGGTATTTATTCACACTGGGGGTTTTATTTTTTTACTATATTAAGGAAAAAATTACCGAAATTTAAAAAAAAAAAACAGTTTCCCCTATATTAAATGATAAAACATTTATTATTACCCAATTTTTTGGTAAAATATATAAGATGGGGTCACGTCGGGTAAAAAGACACTAAACATGTCAAGCCTTAAAATTGCGTGCGCGCGCGAAACCTCAAAAAACGATAATACCCAAAATTGGCCATAGGCGACGCTTTAAAAGCTGTTACCGCTCATCAGTTTAGTGTTATCAGTGATTGATGGCCCTAAAATGATTGCTCTCACTGCGACGTTCGCGGCGATATGTAACATGTGTAGCGCATTGTAATTTTTTGCGCGCTGGGGCACCGGACGCGTATTTACGTTTATAGGCGCGTAAACGTGGGGGTGGGGGAGTTAAACATTTTGGGGGGGTTTTTTACCCCTTTTTTTATGTGACTTATTTTATTTTACTTTATGTGTTACTGTGTGCAACGGTCGGGTCTTTTCTGCCCGTGCGTGCCCGCTAGGGGGCGCGCGCGAGCAGAAAAATATTGCCGTCTGGAGACGGCAACCCGCAAATGCAGCAGTGCCGTCCGTCCGTTTTTTTACTACGGGCGGACGGCAAGAGGTTAAAGTGACTACCATTTCAGTAGAGGAGTCACCTATATTTAAAATACCCAGCTTAGGCCAGCATCTTTCTCCCACTGTGGAAACTTTAGAATCTCAAACTAGTTCAAGCACCCTAGTCCTGGAGTCCTCTGAGACTGCTTTTGAATGGGTCTTAAGCCTGGTGGTAGCAGCATTCTTCAAGGTAGTCCAATTTTGCCCAGTTTAACTCCTAACCTCGGCAAGGCAACATCCTGTTTTCGTGGGAGAAGTCAAAGGGGTTCCTGGACAAACTGATTTCATTCGGCATGGAGGTTCAGGTTGTCCCTGGTTGGTGGCACCAAAATTGGATGACTCCTTCCTGTCTTGTTGTATGGCAGCCAGTGGGGCTAGGGGGGGGAGGGAGGGGGTAATTCTGGGCACCTTGTCAGTCCAATTTATGTGGTCGTCATTGAAGCTTCATCTCCCGATCAACATCCAGCGCTTTGGGCGATTTTTGGCTGTCTGCATTGTGGACCTTTTTTTTTTTTGTCTTTTTTTTGTCAATCTTGTGTAAAAGACTTCCTGTGTGTCTCCAGTAGATGTTCCAGTCATACAAAATATATCTAACCATACATGTATCGGTGTTTTACATGTAAATAGACAATATGGCAAGGTGTGGAGCTAATTTTTTTCACAGAGCTAGAATAAGCTGGGATTCCGATATTCTCCCCCCTTCCCCCAAGTCTGAACGTTTGTTTTTAAGTGGCACTCCTTTTCATTGAGATGATTGATATGCTAGTGTTCTGAGTGATGCATGAATAGAATGTTTCCTCCTAGTATTTACTGCTCTCTTGGCAAGTGTATGTAGATAGTCTTTTTGGATGTTTGTAATCGCATGCTTTAGTCATTTTAAATCTGATGCAACTTAGTATCTTGCTTTTAACACGAGGAATAAATTGGTAAATTCTTCATCATTCTTTGTCAATAAATCTATAGACTAGTGGCAGCTTAACATTTCCTAATTTTGCTACAAAATTACTGTTTTCAAAGGTTTCATATAAGGATGCACCAATACCGGTTTTTCGGTATTGAGTACCGATATTTTTTTCCCCCGGTACTCGTTGATAACTAGTATCGGTGCTGTCGATTTATCAGGAAGTCGGGCGGTGGATCATGACGCGTCGCCCGGCTTCCTGATTGTCTGTGAAGCCGACGCTTTTAAGCGAAAACACCGGCTTCACTTGCTGAGGCTGCCTGGCTTCCTGATTGGCTAGGAAGCCGGCTTCACATGTTCCTGTACAGCGTGCCTTCCTGACCAAACGCGAAGCTGGGACGTGAGTCATGACGTGCTGCTGGCTTCCTGATTGGTTAGGAAGCCAGGCTGCCTGGTACCAAGTGAAGCCGGCTTCCTAGCCAATCGGGAAGCGGGTCATAACCCACCTCCCTGGTTCCTGATTGGAAAGGAAGCCGGCTCCATGCTCGCTCAGCACTGCTGGTCAGAGGGAGATCTCCCTCTGACTGGAATGTTCCAGTATTGGAGGTAAGTATCGGAGCATTTTGGCAAGTAAGAGTACTCGACCAAATACTCTGTATCGGCACCGATATCAGTATCGTGCATCCCTAGTTTCATATGATTTTTCACTAAAACACTATAGAGTAGTATTCCTTAATGGGAATATATTTTTTTTGTTTTGTGGAGTGGGGGGTGTATTCCAGAATCATGCATAACTATAGCACCTAGGATTACAATAAACTGTTGAAAATATAAAAGAAAAAACCTCTGACATACCTATTTTCTCAGACATTAAACACACAAGAAAAAGGTGTTTTTTTGGAAGTTGGAGCGTTTTACTTTGATCAAATTTATTATATGCACCTTTTAGCTATTCTAACAGCAACCAAATTCAAATAAGCACCAGCTATGTCATTTTTTTGTTCATGCTTGAAATATGTCAATCAAAATTGTATGTAGCTGTCAGTGTGAGAAATGGCTAAACTAATGTTCTTTGACACCTTGCTTATTGATATTGTCTTTATCATTGTAGCAGCTTAACCAGTATGTAACCCTCCTACTTCCTTCTGCTAAATGGCTTTGCCAATGGTTGCTTGACAGATTTGTTTAATTTCTCCCTTTTTTTTTTTTTCTTCGTTTAACATTTTTAGCCAAGAGTAGTAGTTCTCTTGAAGCGGACAGCTCCTCTGACGTGTTTATTGTGTACGAGTTGACTCCAACAGCAGAACAGAAATCGCTAGCAAATCAGCTGCTACTTCCTCCAACTTTCTTCTGCTACAAGAACCAGCCGGGCTATGTCAGTGACGAAAATGATGTTGATGGTAATGGAATTGTGTAAATTCAAAAATGTTTTTAAACTATTTGATATGTTAGGGCTCAGTGACCAACTCAGAAGCAAGTTACATGCTACATGTGTTGACTTGCATTTGAAGTGCTTCAAAGTTTTCCTTACACCAAATGTCCAAATCTTTACTCCATAATAAAAATGGAATGTTTAAAACCTTTGATTTTATTCTTGCTCTTATTCCATTTTTGCATTGAATTGTGCAAAATTGACCGCAGTCACCCATTTTGCTTTGCTCGCTATTAAATACTTGTAACTTCATGTTTCCCAAACCTGCTTTGTATGACGGCCCTAGCAGTGGCCTACCTATTCTATTAACTACCTCCCGGCCGGCCGCTGTGTATACACGGCCGGCAGGGAGCTTCTTGGATGTAACTGGGCGTGTATACACGTCCTGTTACATCCGCCTGCGCGTGGGAAAAGCCCGTCATTTGAAAACGGGCAGTGATGCCCGTTAATATACAAGCAATTCGCTGGCTGTAGAGCCGGCGGATCGCTTGTATGAGGTCCCATGACGTGCGCCCCCTCCGCGGCTCCCCCCGCTGTCAAGCTGGTCCCGGGCTCCGGTGTGAGCCCAGGACCAACATACTGCCTCTGTCACGGGATCAGAGGGAGGTCGGTTCACGACCTCCCTCCGGTCCCCTCTCTGCTGTCAGAATGCCGAAGTGGTGTATATTACATCACTTCCGCATTCTCGTGTCACTCTCCAGCTTCAGATGCTGGAGAGAAGCTGATGAAGCAGATCTCTGCCAGCTTCTTCAGGGGGGTCCTAGGTGACAGGGGTCTTGGAGACCCCTGATGTCTCCATAAAGAGGACCTGTCACCTCTTGCTAACACATAGAGGGGTTTCTCAGCCCCCTCTGTGATAGCAATAAAGTTAAGTGGAAAAAAAAAATAGGAAAAAATTTTAAAGTTTCCCCCCAAATTTTTTTAAAGTTACACAAAAAATAATGTACAAAAACCAACATTTTTTTAAAAGTCCCCACCCCTGCATACATGCATGTGAACATGCGTCAGGTGCGCATACCTGTGAAAACGACGATTGCGCCCATTACGCCGCACAAGTTACATATCGCCGCGAACGTCGGAATGAGAGCAATAGTTCTAGGGCCATCAATCACTGATAACACTAAACTGATGAGCTGTAAAAGCCTATGGCCAATTTTGGGTATGCTAGTTTTTTGCGGGTGCGCGCAATTTGTAAGCTTGACATGTTTGGTGTCTATTTACCCGACGTGACCACGTCTTTTATATTTTACCAAAAAAGTGGGTAATAGTTTTATAACATAATGTAAAACCTTTTTTCCCCAAAAATTTTCAGTAATTTCTCCTGAATATAGTAAAAAATAAAACCCCCAGTGGTGAATAAATAACACCAAAATAAAGCTCTATCTGTCCCAAAAAATTGTATAAAATTCATTTCAGTACAGCGTTGCATGACGGAATAAATGTCAGTCAAAGTACTGCAGCTCTGAATACTGAAAAATGGCCTGGCCAGGAAGGGGGTTTAACACCCTGGTCATCAAGTGGTTAAATATCTTTTTAGGAAGTGTTCTAAATTATTTATTTATTTTTTTCATCTCAAATTAGCTTCACAGACCATTTTATGCAAGCACTTTTAGCCTATAGACTACTTCAGACTATAGCGGTCTTTATTTTCACCTAAAATTTTATATAGTGCTGTGGGTAAACTAATTTTGTGTGTGTCAGACCAATTTGCTGACATTGTTGCATTGTCCTATGTGCACTTATTTTGGCATTGTTAACCAGTTAATTGACAAACCAATCTCGCTCTGTTATGCAGATGAGGACTTTGAGGCTGCTGTTAAGAAGCTAAATGGGCAACTTTACGAAGAAGATAAAAAAAGCAAAGGTATCTTATATTTTTTTAAATAACATTAAATGGTAATGGTAAGAGCTCCCTCTCTGCCGCCTCCTTCTGTTCCATGCATCCTTTACACCTACTTCTGTTCCTTTGACGTACATGCACTGCCTTATGGGAGATGTAGTCCAAAATGTTTTGAGTCACCTACCTGGGACAAGTGTGCAAATTAGCAGTGCTGAAGCTTCTCTTCATTCTTGTTTGGCAGTAGACTGTTGACGCCAGAAATGACAGATGACAAAAGCCTTGTTTTCTATTTTGTCAAGTCATGCAAAGTTGGTGTGTGCTAAACAAATGATGAAGAGATGGCTTTTTTTTTTTTGGCACCACAGTGTATTGCAGTGTGCTTCAGCATGTGTTTGGCCTAGTGAAAGTTATGTCTTTATTAAAAAACAAACTGCGATGCATGTAAAGAAAACACTATGCATGCAAAAACTGTTGGTGCATATCAACACAGTTGCTGACATGCACTGGCATATGCACTTTGTGTAAAGGACACCTTTCACCAAGACCCTGTTGGTTCTTTTGTAACGGCTGAACTCCGCAGGCCAGCATAAATACAGTTGCCCCATAAGAATAAATGGGGTCACAGGGCTGATCGGGTCTGAAGGAAGGTATGTGACTGGATAAACAAAGGGGGGGTGTGGGTTGGAATTTGAAGGATAACTTCACCATTGATGAATTTGCTCTTTAGCTTTTCACAAAGCTAACTTATCAAGGTAGGGATCTAGGTTTTCAAAAAAAGTTCAGCTTAATTCTAATTCAGTGAGATTTAAAAAATGATCTTATGGCTAAACAAACAAAAAAAAAATCTTTATCCTTGTGTTAACCTTTGTGGTTTGACCCTTATGTGATTTATAGCAGGCATTCATCACCCCCAAAAGAAACCAGTGAATAGAATGCCTATGTAATCTTTAACAGAAAAAAAACAAAATATAACATTTACGAAAAGGAAGATTGTTTGTTTTGTTTTTTTACTGTGGAGGAGACCTACTACGTCTCTTTTTTTGCAATAAAGGATTCTTACCTTCCACCTCACAACCTTTGTCGGATGAATTAAATCCCTTGTGCGTGCATGGAAGTTGTGACATCCCGGCCTGGCCAGTGAAGATGGCTGTACATGCCTAAGCCGGCAAAACGATTTTGGCCAGTGAAGCTTGCAGATGTTGCATCACTGGAGCGGAGCGGTGTATACGTCAGCTTTAGGAGGATGTAGTGAAATGTACCTAAATCCTTTAAATGCAAATAACTGGCCAGGATATTTTTATTTTTTTCCTCCTACCAGGTAAAATGTTAAAATAGTATCAGCACATACACCCTTGCTGTAAACAGAAGCAACTGATCATCTTTCCAGCAGTTTGTAAGATTATTTTTCTACTTTTTTCAGGCCCAGGGCATCAGCAAACCAAGGACCGAGAGTGTGTAATTGTCTGGGAAAAGACACCCACCCAAGCGGAAAAGTCCAAAGCTGAGAACTTGAAATTGCCTCCAACCTTTTTCTGTGGAGTGGGCAGTGACACCGATGAAGAGAAAGAGACTGCTGAAGACTACGAATCAGCAGTTAAAAAAGTGTCTGAAGTAAGCACAACACTACTTGGCACTTCTCGTAGGCCCCTTGGCAGCGAGCAGTTTCGCTCATGTGTGAAGCAGTGGTGTGTGTTGGCTTTCTGCAGCTTGCTTAAGGAATTCTCTGGAGATATCTTACACTTGCTTGCATTTCCTGTGGAAGTGAGCATAGCATCACTTTTTGCACATTTAGGCTGATTTCAGATTCGAATATTGAAGTGTACTTAAACTGATTGGTGTGACTTGTGGTTATAGGAACAACCCATCACCAGTCTGCTGTCTACCTTTGTTTTTTGCCTTGGCACACTTTGTAGACTAAATCTACCTCTATTCAGACTAAATCTACCTCTATTCAGATGACTATTTTCCATGTTGATGGGTCGCATATGTTTTCATTTTGGCTTTTGATATTTCCATTTTTTTGGAGGTAGTTTAGTTGTTGCTGCTATTTTTGTTTTTGTCGAAAGTGTGATTTGTTTTTCAGTGTTCTGCGGAGTCTTTAAAAGTTGGTATGTTTGTGATGCTTGAGAAGCAGTGTGGTAGTTATGTTTAACTCGTGGAAAGTTTTTTTTTTTTTAGGTTTTTACTATAATTGCTTTCAAGTATAATTGCACAAGAATGGTATACATGTATTTTTCTCTCTCGTTCTGTCACAAATGTCATTTTATTGCATGCTCCATTTAAAGTTGCACTAAAATAAGATGTTAAACCTTAAAAATGCATTTAAGTTCCCTAACTATTAACAAAAATGTATATTTGCACATTTGGCTGTAGATCCTCGAATCATCTCTGAATTCATGCTGACCCTGTCCCTCCTTCTGGAGGGTGGCTACTTTTGTTCCCCATGGTCCCTGTGTGTGTTGTAAAGTAGCCATCGCCCCAAGCTTACTCCCATGATGGACTACAATCTCAATACAAATTAGGAAACTAAACGTGAGATTTTAGTCCATCACAGGAGTGAGCTTTGGAAACGGTGACTACTTTGCAACACACACAGGGACCATGGGGAAGGAAGGACAGTGTCGGCACCAATTCAGAGATGATTTGAGGATCTACAGCTGAGTGATACACAAATAAGATGCAGTATTGTTAATAGCAAATGTGCTTGAATGCAATTTTTTAAATTTAACTCCTGAGTTTAGTGTCAATTTAACAAGCATCTTCTTTGGCACTTTATTATGTTTTTGAATGTTTATATGTGGTTTTTTTTCTACTTTTATGTAGGCATGTTTAAAAAAAAAAAAAAAACAACAACTTTCCCTTGAGGACATTGCCTACTGTTTAAATGAGCTTTAGTAAATCTGTTTATTCCACCCCTTTTTACTTGTCAGAACCTTCCTAATTCTTGTGATGTCTAGTTCAGGTTTTGTGAAACCGCTGTAAGGGAAGGATTGGCGTACATGGCTGTCACACACAGAGCCAGGTCAAATTCAGCAATTTGTCAAGTAGAAAAGACGTTTTGGTTTGCTTCTGACTTGCATTTGTTTACTGTCACAGTAAACCCTAGAGAGTAAAAGGTAGCTAATAATCGAGCATGTTTTCTTGTTCAAACACTGCTCCACAAGGTCCATGTCAAACATTGTTTTTTAAGCAGTTTAGAAAGATGTGCCTCACAAACTAGAGGCAAAATAAGAGAACTGTACATAAGTCCAAAGATTTTCAGCTCAACCAGCTAGCTATTCAGAAAGAGAGGCCAATCAGTTTAGTTGTCTGAAGGTTCTCATTTATCCAGGTCATGGTATAGCTGTAAACAAATAAGTCAAGGCAACTGGACTGGACTTGCTGTATTTTTTTTTTTTCTTGAAGACGTTTCACTGGACATCAAACCAGCTTTCTCAAGTCTGAATGACTTGTATTTTTAAGCTTGGCTTCGCCATTTTTTTGTACATCTATTGTCTGCCACATACAACGCTGTTTTAAGACCTCTCTCTGGGCAGGTTAATAACACTTCATATCTCCAATTATGCAAATACAATCAACACCTGGTTGGGACTAACAGATTGTGGATTGGAGCAACAGTCACCATATTTATTCCCAGATAATTTTTTTTGTACAAGTCATTCTGAATTGAGAAAGCTGGTTTGATGACTAGTGAAACGTCTTCAAGGAACAGCAAAAGCGAGTCCTCTTGCCTTGACTTATTTTTTTACAGATATCAGTTTAGTTTTACCATGTTCTCCTCCTCTCCCTGTGATTGCATTACATTGTATGATTGGCATCTGCAGAGGTAAGTTTGGTGTTGGGTGCAGAATGGTCTGAATGATACAGTAGAAGGTTGTTCTATGCAGCGCATCATTTAGTAAATATTGTAGGGCTGTTACTGATTAAAATTTTCGTGTTCGATTATTCCAAATTCTTTTTAATCAATTAATCGATTCATTTAGATTAATTATAATGCACATACAGATCCAACTATATTGGCCTATACACATATTGCACAGCAATAAAGTCATAAAATGAACTAGGATCACACTAATCCAGCACGTTATTAATCTCACGTGCCCCACTCAATATGGCTGCCGCTTGAGTGGGGCAACTCAGAATAATAACGTGCTGGATTAGTGTGATCCTAGTTCATTTTATGACTTCATTGCTGTGCTGTATGTGTATAGGCCAATGCCTTGGCTGGTGCTCGTGCAGAAAGTTTCAAAAAAAGATTGACGATTAATCAAGAAATTAATCGTTAATTTGCACAGCCCTAAAATATTGTAGTATCCATCATCAAGAATAGGGTAAATGACCTCAATGAAAGTGCTATCTAACCAGGATGGCCAAACCCCAGGATCCTGGTCATCAACATGCTTAATAAAATGACAGCTGACATCAGAGTTTTTGCTGCCTATTATCATATTGGTTTGGTTGACTCCTGAATTCTGCTTTTTTTTTTTCTGCCATGTCCTGGGTTAATAACTTAATTTTAATTTCACATGTTCAAAGAAAAGATTCAAAACTTGTTCCAAGATACTTTATTTCTGTTTCTAACTGAGGTATTTCTCTCTTTTCCTGATGTGAAATAATGCTGCAGTCTTGACTGACCAGTCAATAAAGACCTTTTCCCTACCCCTTTGTACTTTTTCTCTTCAGTCCTATTTGTGTGTTGCTGTTTCTTCTTATTTATTCAGTAGGCTTTTCTTCAGTGTTTTCTCTTACCTCTCGTCCAGAGGTCTCTGACATTTTTGAAATTGTTGATTTTATAATTAATTATTGCTAATATATATATTTGTTTAAATGAATGTGGTATATACACATAAGAAAACAGGTAGCCTACTTTCGGGTCACATTAAGCATAGTCAATGGGGCAGCTGTTATAGGATATGTAGGGAACTGCACATTGCTGTACAGCCTCTCCAAATTTTCCTATCCGTCCAGTGTTCACCACAGGGAAGGATCACCAAATGTTTCACACAATTACTGCTCCTCTAAACTCTGAATCCTGAAGCTCTGCTCCCTCCCTGTCACCGGAGCTCTCCTTCCTACACCACCCGGCTCAGTATCCTGACTGGCCCTTCTCACTGCTCTCTCATGTCTGTTGTGCGCCAGCAGAATCAATTGGTTGTGTGTTCCCTCCGATTTTCCGCTGCCTCTGCTGGGACAGGCGAGGGATGCAGGGATGAGAGGGGACACAGAGCCGATCATGATGCTTTCTTTTTGAATGAATAGCTGCCATCAGTGGCTTGTTAGCTGCTGACAGCTGTTCATTTACACAACACAGTCAGGGGAACCCTTATGTTATAAGCTTATGGTGCTGGACCGACCATGAGCTTCTAGCAAAAGGGTGAAGGCAAGAGACATAAGGCATACTGATCTGGCCAGCTGGAGAGCTATTTGTTCTGCCGTATGCATTACATCATTGGTAGGGAAAGGGTTAAGGGGAACGTAGCCTTCACTTTGTAATGCCTGCAATATGCCAGACCATATTCTCTAATAGGAAGCCCTTCTGCAGCCTATTGATGGGCTTTTATTTAAGGGAATGTAGCCTGTGTCATTGCTGCAGTCTCATTTTTTTTTTTTTGTGTAGTATATATGTTGCTTTGTTCACTTGTATGTAATTATCTGTTTTCTGCTTGAATCACCAAAAGTGGAAAGCAAGATGACTTGTAGCAGCCAGCTTGTCTATCAATCAGGATTCCTCCAGAGCTGACTGGAGGAACGTGGGGTGGAGGGGGGCACGGCTGTCCTCCCGTGACCCTAAAGAGAACTATGGGATAAAAAGGTTACCCCATAGTTCTTTTAAGTTCTGCGTTTAATGTCACTTTAATTGTACATTAAGGGACACAGGATGAGTTATTTAGATACAATCAGTAATGGTGCTGTTTTCAGGAGACTGGACACTGACAAAGCTGTCGGGACAGCCCAGTGTAACCCACTCACTCCAAGCATGTCGTATTTTCCTAGAGTCCTAGTAGCATGGACAAATTCTCTCCGCCTGAGAAGAAGAAAAAAACTTCAAGATTATTTTTCATCTAGCAAGTTTCTTTAGTTGCAGCAACGCCAGAAGGGAATTGTTTTGCAGCTTTCTGTATTGCCTGATCCTTGATGTCATGGGCGTGGTACCCTGATCCCGCTGTGAAGAGCAGCTGGCCTGTAACGTCTTTTTGGCACTGATCTCTGCTAAACGCACTAGATGTGTATGTGCAATATGGAAGTCAGCCACAGGGTTCTTTATATGTCCAGGGCTATGGTGTACTTGTCTGGAACCCTGCCCCTAAAGATCCCCTAGGGGGTGTGCCCTTCGGTGGGGAAAAGACTAGCAGCAGTGGCATGCTGCCTAGATCCTGCCTCACTATCAACAGGTGTACCCGTTTTGGAACCACTGGACATCGGCTGCGGTGGGTAGGGCTTTGGCCTTTGACCACAGGGAGCCTGCTGGTGCTTACTGATGCCTAGCTTCCCCTAAGGGGTTAATTTTCCATGCCCTGGCTGTAACACTATTAATTGTATGGCCAGTAGTGGGGGCTAGTTTGAATATGGTGCTTGAACAGCCTTTACTGCATGTTTGTTTTGGCCCTACTGCTCCTGCACAAGCCCCGTGTTGGGCAATACTGTACATGAACGCACCATTTTCTTTGGTGCATATGCAGGCCTTGTTGCCCCTCTGCCATCTCTTCCACGTTTGGACTACCTCCATGAACCCCTGGGGAGTCCCTGGGCTCCTTCCTCCCTTGCAGTGAGTTGGCCACAGACTGTATCAATCCTTCCTGCTGGGGCATCAGTTGTGAGTACCCTTGTATGAAATTCCCCACTATAGCTAGTGTAGGAGATTATAAGTGTAAGGGCAATGGTTCAGAGGGCCTTGCCAGCTTATCGGCCACTATCCATGCCAGGGGGTCTTGCAGTGTTCTCCCCAAGAGGCCTGGCACAGATTACCTAAACCACTGTCCCCTGCCTAAGTTGTTGCACACCTTTGTCTTCTTTAACCCCTATTGAGGTAAGTCTGTCTTTTGGTTTTACATGGGAAGAATCCTCTGTTACTAGTTCTCAAAATTTGGGAAACATTTGCAGCCATAATAGCTGACTCGGAACGCATAGGCCACAAGCCTGCTTCCACACCCTCTTCTCTAGAGTTGGTCTCTGAATTTCCTGCAGTTGCTTCTGCACAATCTTCTGAGGATTGTACATTTCATTATTTGAGGAATTGGTGCAGGGAGTCTTATTCTGCAGACCTAACTCAAGTCTAAGGATGCCATCTCTGTTCTTATTGATGCTGTCTACACCTGCATAGCCTTGGAGCCTTCTCCGTCAGCTATACTTAAAGGAGAACTATGAGGTGAGTGCTTTTCACTCTACTCATAGTTCTAGCCGACCTGTGACAATGAGACTGTCACAGGTCGGCGCAGTAGATCGGGAGGTGAGCGAACACATACCGGCGTTCGCTCACTTCTCGATCCTGTCACACCTCTCTGCCGTGACGGGAGGGACTGGATTCCCTCCGCTCCGATCCTCCAGTGCTGACTGGCGGAACGGATGGGGGAGGGTACAGCTGGCTCTGCCTCTAGATAGGAAGAGTCAGCTGTCACTCGCGCAGCTGGGCGGATCTAGACATAATTGTCAGGATCCGTTTCAGCTGCAGCGTCTCAGTATACCGCGAGTATACTGAGCTTAGGGTGACGGGAGGACGCTAGTTTGTGTCCTCCCGTTACCCTAAGGAGAACTATGGGGAAAAGCCCTAACCCCATAGTTCTCCTTTTAAGGCCCATAGTGATTGGCCTGACCTGGATAAAGTATTTGCTCCTCTTAAACGTTTTGCACAGCAATACTCTGGAGTCAGCAGTTCCTAAAGAAGTAAACCATAACTGTTGTGGACCCAGCTATTAACAGGGACAGTTTTAGACTTGCTAAAATAGTTAAGGAAATCACGTTTAAAGACCCAGTGACCTCATAGGCAAGGTTCCCCCTTTACCTGTCAAAGCTCACTCCACCAGATTAGTTAGTGCTCATTGTGTTTTTAGCGTCAGTCAACAGTTTCTCAGATTTGCAGGGCTTCTACTTAGTCTAATTCAGGCTTCGGCTGATGTCGGCTTTAGTTGCGTGGTTCTCCAAGCGGCTCTGTAGGTTCTGTTGAGCTTCTGTTTACATGTGTGTAACGTACTATTGCTGGGATTTGTATGAGAGCTCACGGCTAGGAGGAGACCAGCAGCGTGCGCGGCTTTGGCCTGTTCGGTGGGCGTGGCTTATGCGGCAGCCTGTGCGGTGGACACGTCGGGAGCAGCGTGTGACGCGTGACGTGCGACTCAGGCCGCGTGCGGAGCCCCGAACAGGCTAAGCAATCGATAGCTGACGAATCGACGCTCGAAAACGTTGCCAACGTTTTCAATCGTCGGTTTTAATCGACTTAATCGATTAACTGTTGCAGCTCTACACTAGGCTCTCCTTTGTTCTGCCAGTGTCCAATCTCCTGAAGGCAGGAGCAAAACCCAGTCTATGTAAATACTTTTATTCTATATACTGTATTGTACTCCAAGAAAGGATTTTACAGCTAGCCAAAAATCCTATTTTACAATGCAATATTGTGAGTGGTTACTAAAAGCTGTGTTCTCAAAGCTTTTTATACATTGTACAGTTTTTGGAAAGATAAATAGTGTTGTGTTGGCCTATAGTTTTGCTATGTAGCAGTCAAATTTTGTGTGTGATTTGAGTGACACATTTTTTTATAGATTGTATCACAATGTTTTTAGGTATCTAAGAAAACGGAAGATAGTAATGAAGCTGATCTGATCTCCATTTCATCCATCACAATTCGTGAAGCTCCAGACTCTACTACTGCATCAGCCCAGGAGCCTGTAGACCTGTCCTCAAAGACTGAACCAATAAAGTCTGACCCTAACAGCAAAGGTAGCTTTATAATGAGCGTTAAAAGTGCTCTGCAAATGTTATCGCAGATGCTAACATGCTTTTGTTTTGTGTATTAGCGTGAGCCTTGCCTTGAACGTGCTAAAAGTAGGTGCTGAGTGCAAGGGCCTGTTAACTTGCATCACATTACTATTAGTCCCAATGTTGTGATAAGAAACCAACCCTGAAACACAAGTCGCAAGTATCTTACCAAAGACGACTTGTTGATGCTTTGTTTTACGCACTGTACAGACATTTGGGTAAATGGTTAACCCCAAACATTTAACGGGATCAGAATTCTGGGAACAGCCTGTCCACATATTGTAGTGGTTGGGAGGGAAAAAAATATTTTTTTTTTGTTACAGAAATTCCTGACTGACCACATTTGTTATCTACAACAACTTAGCCAGTATTTTTGGTTCTTTTCTCCATAGTTACACGGGCAATTCTGGACGGCACAACAGCTCAACCAGGAATTACTTCTGTCCCCAATTACCTCATGATTGCATTTTTTTTTTTACAAAAAGGAATTAATATGCTACATGGTTCAGAGGGACCTGCAAAAGTTGCAAACTATTGTGGCATTGCTTAACCACTTTCTGGCCCCAGTATATAAATTATTCTCTGGAGGTTTGCTGTACCGTGATATAGAATTATCCATGTATCACAGCCCTACCATTGCATTTACAGGGAGTTTGATCTAAAATGTTAGTAAATTAGAGTGATTCTAAAATAAGAGAATGATTGCAAAATTGTATCTGGTATTGCTATTAATGCCATGCATAAGACTGAGACACAGTTATGAGGCACTAAAAATATGTCCGATGTACTGCATCAATATAAAGAGACTCAAATTCATCCTGCGCTGCAGCCTTTTCCAGTTACCAAAATGCAACATTTATGGATTTTATGTCGGCCAATTAAAATGAATTGCACATCTACACTATGGAAAATTGTATTCTGAAGGTTTCACCTCCACAAAACCTGTGCATTTAAAACACTCACTGGTGTGAAATGTCCCATATCCATTTGCAGATGTGCCCCATTCATCTGCTAGCTAGATTCTGCTATTGGCTATTGCGCACACCCACTGCCTGTTTACATTTACCTGCCAGCTATCGGCCGCAGCAAGATGTAAACAGAGCATTTAGTTAGCAACTACATACATTTTTAGTGTGCACATGGCTATCAAGCAACTGGCAAAAAAAGAGGACGTCTTTTTTTTTTTTTTTTCTGGTTGCTTGAATGCAGGATAATGAGCAGTTTGTACATATAAAATTTGTCAAACTCTAAGGATGGAGGGGAGGAATTATTGGTCAGGCTTTGCTAGACCCTGCAGTAGAAGACTCCAAGGATATAATTATGAACCCTAATGTGGACTGGTCCTTATGTGTGTAAAGTACATGAGTGAATTCAAAAATAGAAAAGCCATGATGTTTTACAAATCTATCTTGTGTTTTCAGTAATCAACTTTACTTTCGGCATAGACAATGATCCTGGACTGTCATTTGCTGACTTGACAACAGATAATGGGGAATTTGCCTTTGGATCTAAAGGTATGTTACCAGGTTTTCTAGTGTAGGTCATTTTTTGAAGGATTTTCTGCAGACTGTCAGCTTTACACTGGAAGTAATTCAGGCCACTTTCTCCTTTTAAAGGGAACCTTCACCACTAAAATGCTATCACCTAGGAGGCTTGGGAGTCCCCATGTGATAGCAATAAAGTTAATTTTTAAAAATGTTAGGCAGATGTGAAAAATGCTGATCAGTACGAATGCTTTCAGAAATAAAAGTGGTATAGTTTTATTTTTATCGAGTAACAAAATGGAAAGTAAATGAACAGAAGAGAAATCAAATCAATATTTAGTGTGACCACCCTTTGGCTTCAAAACGGCATTAATTCTTCTAGGTACACTTTGCACACAGTTTAAGGAACTCCGCAGGTAGGGTTGTTTCAAACATCTTGGAGAACTTACCAAGATAGTGGCTGCCTCAAATCCTTCGGTCTCTTGTAATCCCAGACAGACTCGATGTTGAGACTCGTTTTTTTTTTTTACACTAAAGATAGTTCTTAATGACATTGGCTGTATGTTTGGCGTTGTCCTGCTGCAGAATAAATTAGGGGCCAATCACACCCCACCCTGATGGCATGATGGTTAAGTATCTGCTTGTATTTCTCAGCATTGAGGGCACCGTTGATCCTAATTTTGTGCATAGTTGAGTAGCTTAGCCTTGTTTCCACGTCGGTGGGATGGCTTTAGTCTGCAATTCTTCCATGAGGACCACTTCTGGCCAGACTTCTCTGGACACTAAATGGGTGTACCTGGGCCCCACTGGTTTCTGCCAGTTCGGTGCTGATGGAACTGCTGGACATCTTTCGATGTGGAAGGAGAGTAAGCATTATGTGTCTTATCTGCTGCATTGTTTTCTTGGCCAGCCACTGCGTTTACGGTCCTTAGCGTTGCCCGTTTCTTTGTGCTTCTTCAAAAGAGCTTGAAAAGCACATCTTACAATTCCAGTCTGTTTTGAAATCTTTGCTTGGGAGAGAGCTTGCTGATGCAGTTTATTTATCAAAGCACTTGTGACAGTTTCAGCCTCTTAGATCATTTTTTTTTTTAAATGTGCAAATCTGTCTTCCAACATGTGCCCCTGTTTTCTTCAGAGCTTGCACTACTTTTCTAACTGCACGTGTTGTGCCCCGGTTTTCTTCAGAGCTTGCACTACTTTTTCAACCATCTTTTTTGCACCTGTTTTCACCTGCACTTGTTCTGGGCTGTCTGAAACTGGAGAATCACCTAAGAAAACAATCGCAACTTAAGAAGTCCCCATGACCACTTCAAGATGCGAGAGTTGAGCTTTTTGCCTGAAGTTAGAAGTCTTCTTTCTTGGAGTCTATTAAACCTCATTTATCAACATTACACTAGCTTGATAAATGTGGTGCAAATATATTCCGTGCAAGTTCAAACACTCGCAATTGATATGATAAATTCCCCCCATGTTTTTGCACTTTTTTTTGCACATGTTTTCATCTGCACTTGTTAAACCTCATTTATCAACAACATTACACTAGCTTGATAAATCTTGTGCAGATATTTTCCGTGCAAGTTCAAACACTCGCAATTGCTTTGATAAATTCCCCCCCTTGTGTCTTGTTGCTGTGCTCAGTCTTGTTATGGTGTTTGGACATGAAACTGTCTTCCACAACCTCACCTTAGTAGCAGAGTTTGGCTGTTCCTCACCCAGTTTTAAGCCTCCTACACAGCTGTTTCTGTTTCAGTAAATGACTGTTTCAACCTACATATGAAATTGATGATCACTAGCACCTGCTTGGTATAATTGGTTAACCGTACACCTGACTCTAATCCTACAAAATCCCTGACTTTGCAAGTATAAATGTGGCCATACACCTTGCAACCATCGCACGGCTTTCGTTGTGCGATGGTTGTAAGGTGATTAAAAGTTCGTACAACCTGCCCATCTTGGACAGGCAGATCATACTTGCGATCATCGCAAGTCCTCCCCGCTGAGCGGAGGGCTTACAGATGATTGCAATGGTGAGCGGGCAGTGTGCGCCTGCACACCACGGCTTTCGTCTTGCGAACGTGCTACCAACCGTACGATTTTCAGCAGGTTTTCTAGCGTGCTCGTAAGACAAAAGTTGTGCGGCCTTACAGTATATGCGGTTGCACGCTGCCCATACACCTTACGATTATCGTACGATCGCAGGATCACCCGCGATTATTGTACGATAATCGTCGGGTGTACGGGCAGCTTAAGAATTGATGCTGGTTTGAAGCCAAACTGTTGTCGCACAAAATATTGATTTAGATTTTTCTTCTGGTCACTTTGCATTTTGTAAATAAAAATAAACAATAAAATTCTATATTTTTGAAAGCATTCTTTACAGCATTTTTTCATCCCTGCCCAAAACTTTTGCTCAGTACTGTATATTGCTTGTGCACTAAATTAACATGAATGTATTTTTAATGAAAATTTGGGTTTGATTAAAAAAAATGCAATTGCCAGCATTTTATTTTACATGGTCCCTGCTTTCAGCAAATCTAATTCTCGGGGTTAAGTAATCCAGTAATCCATGGTAATTTTACCATGTGGGCAACCCCCCACAAAGGGTTAAAACTTCCCCACTGACCCAGAACATACAGGCACTCCTAACCTGGATACATGTTCTGAGTCTGTGACTGAGAAGACATTAAAGCCAGACAATCTGCATGAGAGCCAGGAATTTTGACATTTAGAAGTAGGTCAGTTATTGCATCCTTTTATACGCTACAAAGACATGTTGGAAGGGCAATTGGCGCCTGTCTAAATTGGCCCTCCTATGTGAGTTAGGGCCCTTAGATTGTAAGCTCCTTGAGGCACTGATGTGAAAGTGCACTGTGTTAAATGGTTGGTGCTATATAAATACCTGTAATACATTTCTCCTATAGGTTTATATATAAACTGTACACATGGAAAGCTTTTGCAATGTTTGCAGGTTAAATTAAAAACTCCTCCTAAACCTGGCCCAAGCCATTATCTGCTATGTTAGCCAAAGTTTTTCCTTGCTTTTGGCACAGCTCTGCCTATTACGTTATTACTCCCACAGATGTCAACTTTCAGTGGGATAACACTGGTGCTGCCGTATTCAGCTCTATCGCTTCAAATCGAAAGAGAGAAAAAGGAGGTGATGGCGACGATGAGGAGGTTCACAGTGATGATGTGCACTTTGAGCCCATTGTGTCATTGCCTGAGGTAACATCATTTTTTTTTTTATATAGGGAGCTACTTGCTTATGTCTGAGGTGTTAGAATCCATTCCTGCAGTGTAATGATTTTCATTCTCTGGAACTGAGTGCTTGTTTTTGGTGGTAACAGTTACAGATTTGATGTTAGAATGGTTAACCACCCAGATATTAGTATGTTTTACAGTTACCAAACGTTGATGAATGTATTCTTCATTTGAAGAGTGTTTCCAATTTTTTGAGAGGAAAAAAAAAATCAATCCCCTCGCGGTGATCAAAAATAAGCATTACGGGGATTTTTTTTTTTAAATGTTGCAGATTCCTATCGCTTTCTGTTTTGAAGGAATAAGAGTTTTTCACCATGTCCGTCCAAACTGACCCCTGAATGGGATTGTCTGTGTTCATTATCAGATGGGCTTCCGAAGCTGTAATAATGAAAGGTGCAGTGTCGGCATCCCTTTTAATAGTAATTATCCCTTAGGGCTAGTTCACACCAAGCGCGGAGCAGATCCAGAGCAGGTGCAGACAGTATCAAAACTGCATCCAATGTATTCCTATGGCATTTTTAGCTCCAGTTCACATCGCAGCGTGCAGATCCAGAGCAGGTAGAAAAACTGCAGCAAGCCCTATTTTACCTGCTCTCGATCTGCAAACGCATGCAAATGCCTGGAACGCCCATGTTAAACTAAAAAAAAATATATATATATATATTATAGATATTATTTTTTTTAGCCAAAAACGCATCTAAAAGACTAGCGTGCATGTGCAGAAACCTGACCGGATCTGCTCTGCATTTGTTGTGAACAAGGCCTTAGGGAGTAGCTCACTAAAAATGAAAAGTTGTACTTTTACCTTAGTACAGATTTCTGGGGAAATCAATGACCCAATCATAGAAGCGGGAAGTGACGTTCCTGGGGCCTCCAGGTTGCTATATTGCATTTATTGACAGATTTAGAACATTACAGCTGCTACAGTTTTAAATGGAAAGGTCAATTTTTTTTCCCCCTTAAAGATTATAATTTTTTTTTTTCCCTTTACAAGTAACCCTTTAAGTTTCACAAAGGTGTTGCACCATACCCCAGGTCTGCCATCAGAACTGAGATTTATCAGACCAGGCAACATTATTTTAAAATAGCCAAGTGTGTATATCCATCAGATATAATTGTGCTGCTTTAATCAAATACACATGGTTACCTTGTATACCCTATACAGCCAGGAACTAAATATTTTGTGCTTTCTGATTTTGGTCGTCGCACCCGACTGTTGTATGACTGTGTTTAAATGGTGTATTGTGGAATGGCAAATTGACATTATGGTCAGTCAAGCTGTCTCATGTTTTATCCACCAGGGATTCTCTCGTGTAGTCTATTCTGTTCTGACTTGTCTTTTACAATGGTCTCCTTATTGTATACTTTGTCATTTTTGAAAACCCCCCAAAAATAAATTCTTGGTCATGTCCAGACCTGCTGGCTTAGGACAGTCTTGCCTTTTTCTGTCTTTGATGTTACTGTAATTTCTTTGTCACACATGCAGAAGTTAGATTTTTTTTTAATGCAGAGACTGACTTCTTTTTTGAACAGTTTGTCTTTTTATATACATTTGTGCTCGAAAGTTTGCATACCCTGGAAATGTTGGCATTGATATTTGAAAGTATGACTGACCATGCCAAAAATCTTGTCAAAATTGATGGCAAGATAATTGCAGCATGTTATCGGAAAGAACTGGCAGACCTTATGCATTCTTCTGCACGAAAGCTGCGCATGGGACGCTCGTGGACTTTCCAGCACAACAATGACCCTAAGCACACTATTGAACAGGAATCATTTCATTTTTTTTATTTGTTGCTATGTTTTGTTTTACGATTGTGCCATTCTGTTATGACCTACAGTTGCATATGTATCCCATATAAAATGTGTTTTGCCATCCCACGCATGTTTTCTTTATAAATGGTACATGTATTACAAATTCTCCAAGGTATGCAAACGTTTGAGCACAACTGTTTTTTATATTTTGTGTGTAGTATCTTGTATATATGAATGTTTCTTTGTAGTCATCCAAATTTTATTTGGATCTTTGTCTTTAGGTGGAGGTTAAGTCAGGAGAAGAAGATGAGGAAATACTTTTCAAAGAGAGGACAAAGCTGTATCGCTGGGACAGAGATGCCAATCAGTGGAAGGAGCGAGGTGTAGGAGAAATTAAAATTCTCTTCCACCAGGAGAGAAATTATTACCGCATATTGATGAGACGAGACCAAGTATTAAAAGTGTGCGCAAACCACGTTATCTCAAAAGATATGAAATTAGCTCCTCTAAATACATCCCAAAATTCGTTTGTTTGGATAGCCAATGATTATTCTGGTAAGTTCCTTTTTTACCTTGAAAATTATATTCAGATCTTTATTCAGAATAGCAAGGCCAGTGTTTATCAACGGAATTCCTCATAGAAATTGTGAATTTAGTTTATCAGAAATGCCACTTATCTGTTGCCCTACAAGGATAGATCACTGAACCCAAGAAGCTCTTTGATGTATACCAGTTTGGCACCATTGACGCATTTAAATTCTAACAAACCATGCTCAAGATGTTCCCATGCACGTCTTTCCCACAATCACCATACGCTCTATAGCACCTCACTCCTAATCATACATCAGAGGACCAAGAACTCAAACATTGGTTAACATGTAATTCCAGGGAAGCATAGGTGTTCCAAGTTAAGCTGGCCATACACCATAGTACACTAAACTGCATCTGCAGGGCCACCCATGGATCGAATTTTGGGTCATCCAGCAGGTTTTATTTTATTTATATTTTTGAGCGTTTTGTACGCGCTACAAAACGTTCAGGTGTGAACCAGGGCTTAGAGTGCTGGCTTTGGGTCTTTTATTAAACAGCTACCAAATTTGTTTAAGTATGAATGTTTTGTTGTGTAAACAAGTAGACATCTGCGTCTGAAATAAAGTTTGCTAAAATCCTTAATTAGGGATGTCCCGTTACCACTTTTTCAAGACCAAGTACAAGTACTGTCTCTCATGTACTTGCTAATACCAATTACTGATACTTATTCTTAAAGGGACATGTGACATTTTTTCTGAAACAATGGGCAGTTTCTCACCAGGGCTGCGTGCATTGGAGGTGACAGGTTCTCTTTAAGGTGGCAGGTCACCTTTCCACTTCACTGGATTCAGCTGCTGAGGCAGCTCAATGTAAATACAGCAGGCAGTGGCTGGGAGCAATAGCCAGCCTGCTATTGGATGTTTTAAATTGCAATACCCAATAGCAGGCTGGTTATTGTACCCGCCCATTGCCTGCTGTCAATCAGCAAAGGAGGGAACTGAAGACAAAGCTCTCTATCAGGTCCTCTGCTGATTGAGAGCAGGCAATGGGTGGGTACAATAGCCAGCCTGCTATTGGCTATAACAAATTTAAAATATCCAATAGCAGGCTGGCTATTGTTACAAGTGTCCATTCCTTTTCCACTTGATGAAACTGTTTCCTTTTGGTGATATATCACAGTGTCAGTTGTCTGTGCTCCTTATGTGTTTAATAATAATGCCCTCACCAGACATCCACAGAAGTTTTCCCTCTCAATGAAACAAGAGAAGGTCAGTTCAGAGTCACAGCAGTAGTGTATTTTCCCATCTTGTGCTGGCTACAGCGGTCTGCAAAAGGGACACAGAACTCTACAGCCAGCACCAGCGGGAAGAAGAGACTGTCCGCACAACACTTACCGCCCGCCACGCTGTCACACTTCCGTCTAGAGAGGTCAGAGAGGAGAGGGAGGGGCTATGCAGGTCAATGACCGAAGCTATTTAAAAAAAATTTAAAGGGCGGTAACAGCTCTGTATCGGGGCATTTTCAGGAGTACAAGTACTCCTGAAAATGCCCTGGATCGGGATATTTTATATAACACAGCTAATGTTTCACTTCAAAAAAATGCAAGTTTAAGACAGCATATGACCCCCTAGAAAATCCTGTGCAAAAAAACTTGGCATCAGTACAGCCTTAGGCATATTCCTCCCACCCCGTACCTGTTTGACAACACTATTACCTTCCTGTTTTACATAAGTATATGTGGTGCTGCATTGTGAGATGGAAGTTGGAATTGCCAACTCTTCCTATACCTCAAAGTGGCGGGGTTTCTAGGGGTTCCCTTTCCCTCTTTGGAGACATTTGCAGTAATGATGGTATATCCTTGTACATTTTGGTGCTTAGTATCCAGGAGTTTAATTTCTTACTGTATTGCTGCAAACATGTTAGTTGCTGAACGTGATCAACACAAGTATCCAAGTATTGTCTTCAGTTTAAATGACTAAACACTTGTTTGTTTTTACCCTGCAGATGGAGAAGGCAGTTTTGAGCAATTTGCAGCCAGATTCAAAACCCAGGAGCTGGCGGATTCCTTCCAGAGAAAGTTTGAAGAATGCCAAAATAATCTACAGCAATCTGAAAGTTAAATGAGATGGTTATTAACTATTGTTAATGAGTTTCTAGAACAAATCAGGTTTTTCTCATCTGTTTCTAACCTTTTCATGTAATCAGATTTTAGTCCCTTACAGCTTCATGGTTTTACTGTTGCTGTCTGGAGGCGTGATGTTATCATTGCCACCATTCAGATAGGACACACTGCGGGATCAATTGTATTGGGATATTATTCAATGTGTCAAACATTATAAGCAGTGGAGTAGTGGCATGGTGCGTGGAAGGGATGGCCTCTGTTTCTGCATGGATCAGTCCGAATCAAATGGAGAGTTTCCTATGAAATTGGGAATCTTAATCCGTACAGTAACAGTGATTGAGTATTTAGCTTGTCCATGTTTGAGTGGGCCTTTGTTTGGTTTCACTTATTCTCTAAACTTCTGTTAAACTAAGAGAGGCACTTTTCTTCTTCCTCCAGAATACCTTCTAGTTCTGTTTCTCTCAACAGAATAAAATAAGTGACCGTACATAGATCTACATTTGTGTAAAGAAATTTTGTGCACTTGTAAGAACATAAACTTATTTTTTAAATGTTAGTATTGTAAATAAAGTTGAGTGAAAAGTGTTTTGGTCTTCATGTATTGATATTGATCTGTCATCTGTTTGGTAAGCATCTCCACTACCTAAACTACTACTTTGGTTCTTTTGGTCATACTTGCCATGAAGTCCTTTTCCTGGAGTCCATTGAAAGAAGTCTGAGACAAATGGGTAATGCAGCCACCTACAGAAGGATTGGACACTAACAAACCTTGAGCCAGCCTTATGGTATAACCCCTCCCATGCTTCAGTTTTATAGCAAGTAGTACCAAGAACAATGGCTCTTATGATGGGTACAAAAATCCTATTTTCTCTGTTCCATTGAGGGATACAAGAATTCCAACAAAGTAGGACCCAACAAATCAAAGGGACTGCATGCATCTCAAAGAGCTGCCTGTAATAAGTTACGTCTGAAGTCGGCATCTGCAGAGGCTGAAACATCCACCTGGTAAAACAGAACCAGACCAGGTGGCAGCCTTACATGCCTGTGAAACAGGCCTGATTCCAAAATGCTCAAGACTCACTCGCATCAATGTTGTAGTGAGCTTTCACAGGGAAGGAGGGAACCCTATACTATGAAGATGGAGCTAGATTCCAGAATGTCTTCGTGGACCCATCTGAAATGACAAACTGCCAGCCCTTTTCACAGAAAAGAAAAAACTTCAAAGAGAACTGAACAGCACAAACCATAATCCAGACACTGTAGCGAAATCTCCATCTAATGAACTGGAGCTGAGCACAAGGATGATAAGGAAATGTCCTGATTTTTGACTGTAAGCCTGTGTTGCTCTGTAGACCAAGTCCCCTGTACTGACAGAGCATCCAGCATTGAAGCATGGTGTTTAGTGTTAGGATCTGCCAGAACAAGGAACGAGTTTCTTGCCCAAGGTCAGAACAGACTCATCAAACCAGCACAATAGGGTTAGCCTGTGCCTTGTGGTCAGTCAAACTGCCTACTAGGGAGACAGGTGACTTGTCCCACGTTGGAACAGCGCAAAGATTACCGCTTTGAAGGAAGCTGTCATTAGATGCAGTAGGACTCTGAAGGGCATGAGCCCAAGCCTGAGGAGTCTGCAGTTTCTCTAAGGGGAGAATGACCCAAGTCCCGTTTGTATCCAGGATCAGACATCGGTACTCCTGATGATGCGGTGGGTGCTAATTAAACCTGGACAGCTGGATAGAGAGCTTAAGGCCTGGTTCACACCTGAATGTTTTGTAGCGTGTTCAACACTCGACGAACGCTCTACAAAACGCTCAAACATCTAAATCCCATTGTATTCAACGGGTCTGGTTCACACCTTGCCGTATTTCCGCCCGTCCGAACGCGATACAAAATGGCCTACGCCCAAAGAAGTACATGTACTTCTTTGGGGCGTTTTGGTCTCGTGTTTCCATTGGGATACAGCCAAGTAGCCCTTGGAAACGGGCATTTGTCGTGCGTTTTTTTACCGTGAATCGTGGTAAAAACGCGCGACAAATGCGCATATTCAATACGTCTAGGTGTGAACCCAGCCTAAAACTTGTTGGGTCAAGCAAGGCTGAGGGTGACCAAGTGTCGTTTCAGGCATGCAGTTGGTAGCAAGCACAGGCCTGTGTTCTACGTGCCTCAGGAAAGCAGGAGCAGCAGAAAAGAGATGCTTCCTCTTGCCTGCTGGTGGCTAAGAGAGCATTGAGCATGGTGGAAATTCTTTTTTTTAAAGCAGGAGTTCTACCTCCCGTACGGTCTATCATCACACAGAAAACTTCTGTTGCTGTGTGAGGAGGAAAGTTTCAGTCCAGGAAAATCCAATCCTAACCTAAGGTTCAAATATTAATCCAAACCAGATTGACACAAGTACTATCAAAGGTCAGATTTTTCCTTTGTGATCCTAATCCAAAGACAGCTAGCCTCTCTTTTTTTGGTTTCCTCCTGTGACTCCATAGCCTCTAAATGTGGTTCTATCTGTCCTTCGTTTTGAGTCCTAGATCCGCCTTCTTTAATCCTAAAGTAGTTTCGGCCTTTCATCTCAAACAGAACATTGTTCTTCCATCTCAAGTACATTAAGCAGATGTATTTTTGTTGCCTGAATACAATTTGTGTTGTAAAGGTTTCTTAGCCACTGATTCCATTTGAAAGACTATCTTTCTTACCTTTTTAGATGAGACTGAAAGAGAAAGTCCAAAGCCTGCTACACAGTGACAGGAAACTCTGGTTGTCTCCATAGAAAGATTAGGGACACGCTGAACTTCCTCTCGTTAACATACAATGCTTCCAGATCTTTAACACTTTGTTAGGACAAGAGAGATATGGATATTCAGACCTTACCTGATGCAAGCTTTGAGCAAAAGGTCCTTCAGGCTGCTATTGTATCTGCTGCCAATTTTGCCATGTTGCCTACCCACTCAGCTGGACTGCTTTTAGACATCCCAATCGTATCAGAAAAACAAAGTATCCTGTGTCTGTTAATAAACTATAAACAGAATTTCTGTACTTCTAGTAAAACCTATTTTAGAGTTTAAGAGGCACAGGTTCCACTCCATCTTTGCGATCTACTTCTAAAGCTGGCCATACACCTATAGATTATCTGCAGATTTTCTATGGGGAGATGGAAAAAGTGCAACAGATTCCTCCATCTATGCTAAACTGCGTGGATGGAGGAATCTCCCACTGTGCCTAGTTCCGTATCTTTGCTAGTCAGACCTTCTGGTTGTCAAAATACCTGAACAGTCTGATTGGATGCCGGCATTGTTCAGGTATTTTCAGAGCCAACGGGGCCGACTAGCAAGATACTGACGTTTGGCCCAGTGGGAGATTCCTCCATCCACAGAGTTTAGCATAGATGGAGGAATCTGTTGCACTTTTTCCATCTGACCACTGAAAATCTGCAGATAATCCTATAGGTGTATGGCCAGCTTAAATGCTGCTCTTCTACAAACCTGAAGCATGCAGAGAGTGGGAAGGGCTTTAGTAAACAAGCCTTTGGCTAGCTAGGTAGTGTCCAAATCCTGTAGGCGGCAGTGTAACCCAAACATAGCAAAATACCTGCTGATCCTGAAGCTCTCACCCTCACAAAATTGGGGCTGCATATGTATAAGCGTTCATGTGTTTTGTGCTGATGTGTGCTCCACAACTCACGGGACAGCTCTGGGTTTCATCAACAAGCTGAACCTGGGAGGGCCACCCCCTGATCACGATTCCTGAGATCATTCGCTACAGAACCCTCCCCATCTCTTTCTCCTCTGTGAAAAGATACATTGGGGGAGGGGGAGGAGGAATCTGTTTAAATAAAGTGATATACTGAAATAGCCAAGTGTCTAATCTAGGGCTGTGTTAGTATTAGTGTATGTTAGGTACAATACAAACAGCTTTTTATTTAGTGTCAGGAACAGTGGGTTATATAGGCAAAATAAAAATAATGCACTATTGTATTTGGGCGCTACTACATGAACAAACACACACACACACATATGTGGTATCTGAATATCAGAAGAGTTCATTTTGTGGGGGAACTTTGCTGATGGGTCATGGCAATGGAACAAGATACAGCTAAAGTTGAAAATGTATATATATATATTTACTATTGTGCCCTGCATTTTCTCTGGCATAAAACAGATGTATCAAAATGTACATCCTGCCAAGATCAAAGGGGATTTAGAAAGCTCTCGTAGGTTGCAGATGTCTACAAGTCTGGCATTTGTTTTAAAAACAAAGAAATAATCTACCAATGGTGTACATTCCAAAACAACTGTTCCGCCCAGGAGATGATTCTTTAGACTAAAACACTCAAGAACCCTGAAATTTCACTGGGATCTGTAGGTAACTCTTGCAACAGTTGGCATCCAAGTGCATGCATCTACAATCAGAAAGAGATCTCACGCTTTTAACCTTTATTGGAGGGGGTATTGGGAAAAAGTCTTTACTTGCAGCAACAACAAAAAAACCCACCTCCTGTTAGAACAATTCTAATGAATCAAGGGGTAGACTGGTAAGACCACAGCAACATGACATCATTTCAGGACAACCTCATACCAACTGTGAAGCATGGTGATAGAAATGTTATGGTTTGAGGTTGCTTTAGAATCTAGCCAGGTTGCAGTCATGGAGTCAACATATTAAAGTGTGCTTGATAAGGATGCAAAAGGATGTCCAAAGTTGAAATGGATCTTTTAGCACGATAATAAAAGAATCGTAATAATAAAAAAAGATGGTCGTGGACTGTGAACCCCATTGAAATTATATATAATCAAACTAGCAGATCAGGCAGGAAAACCTACAAACATTTCAAACATTTTGCAACTGAAGGAATTCCTCACGGAGGCATGCTCAATGATTTTACTGAGTGGTGTGCAGTTATGCAAGACGTATACAAGAAGTAATTTCTGCTAAAGGGGGGCAGTGCCAGCTCAGGAGGCCAAGGGGGGGGGGGGGTTTAAACCTTTTCCACAGTACATCTATTGATATTTGTGTTGAATCATTTATTGGAAAGGCAAATAAATGTCTCGTGTTTTTATTCAAATATATCTTTGTATGCAAGCACTGTTTGAATGAAGAAGTTTGCCTGTTTGAATATGTTGTAAAAGTCAATCTCCATGAGTAATTACCTTCTCACACGAGGGTGTATGCGTGCGCGCAAATTGATCTGCAAACTACAATAATACTAGATTTTAAAAAATTGATATCTTATCTGGTGTGTGTGAACTTCCAATGCCGTATCACTAGATGAGCGCTTACACTGCACCAAAGGCAAATGTTGAAAGCTCAGTACTAGGTGATTATGAGATCCCTTTCTGTCATACAAGATATATTTGGATATATGTAAATCGATATTTTGAGCCCAGCAATGACATTCAGAACCATGACATTTGACAATTACTCTCTATTTAGCATAACAGTTTTATTTTTTAAATATCATGCTCGGTCAAGATGAAGTTTCCCCATACTTTTTTGGTTTCTACATTGGGCCCTTTATTTTTAGTATGTAGACTGACAAGTAGCCATCTCCAATTTGTTTGATGTCATATCTTACAACAAATGTACAAAAAAAACAAAACAAAATAAAAACAACAGAATCATAAAACTCAGTCCTCGTCTGAGTCAGTGTCTTTCTTTGTGGCAATGGAACTTCTAATGGAAGTCATGAGCTGGTCCTGGATTTGTTGTCGGGGGTTTTCTTCAAGATCTGTCTTTATAGCACCAGATTCAGAAAGTTTCCATTCCAATTCTGTGGAATCAGATGTCACACCATTAGGATACCCATATTAAGTACTGCAAACATCTATGTACCAATTGTACACGAAGAAAAAGATGGCTTAAAGTGTATGCCTCAGTGAAATAAAAACAAAACCATGTGCAGTACATGCATATTTGCCCATGTTTTGGCTCTGTGAAAGTATTAAAGTTGTGCTCTCAGTGTAAAAGCTTTCATTTAGAAATAGTCCTCAATAGTCACAAAGTATATAAATCCTCTTTGTGAGCACCTAGTGCCTTTGAGAACCTAGATGTTACCTTGTAAAAGATGCAGTGACATCATCACTGTGCTGTACCTATCCTGTGCAGAAAGCAGAGCTGTGTGAGGGACCCAGCAGGTCCACCTACTATAGGCTGCCTGCAATAAACTAAAGGAGGAGGCGGAGACAAGACCAGTCACCCTGGACAAAAAGAGCAGCAGTGACCAGTTTTAATATAGGAAGCTACTGCACAGATCTGGAAGAAATGCACAAAACACATCAAGATTCAAGTGAGAATACACACGACTCTTGTATTTAGCCAATATATCCTTATCCTGGAGTTCAGATTTAAATACAGAAAAATTCCTGGTAAATCTCCCAACAATCCAATGTTCTCTTTGAGCCGACAATGCTGCCTCTACTGCAATGAAATCTGCAAGCAGTTGTTTCATCCCTGAGTTATCCCCTGCATAAGACCTCGACCTTATGTTTTAGAGATGAGAGAAGGAGGTGTTCTGTAGTACTGCGGAGGAGAGGTAGGGCTGACAACACTGCTTGGGACTTCAGTACAGTAGAGGGACTGTTATTCCCTTCAAACAGTAATTTAGTAGCACAGTGGATTTCTGGCAGATCAACAGGTATTTTTCTGTGCTTGACACATTGATAAATGGCTGCATCATGGGGAGATGTGCATGTATTGCAGAGAATACTATATTTCTGTATTATTGTGCCTAGACATACACTTTAAGAGTCTCTACTTCCAGCAGACTGCAAAATATTTCCTCTAATCATTTTTTTTTTACTAGTTGCTATAGCGTGGATAAATTACACACACACACACACACACACACACACACACACACACACAACATAAAACCATAAACCTGAGTGAGCTTACAATCTGGTGTCCCCAACATCAGCATATAAATATATAAACAAAAGACATCTAAGGCCAAATCAGTTTAGAAGCCAGTGAATATTCTATGATGATTGTATGTACACACGTGACCATCTGCTATTTACTTACCATCCTGTGTCAGTTTCATGCCACCAAACACTAAAGGTCCAATGAACTGGGCACGAATTTCACCACCCTGATAAACAAAGATGGTGGGTAGGTTCTTGTCAGGATAGTTTGGTATACATGTTGTGGAAATGGCTTTGATAAACTTGACATCTTTAAACTTTCTTGCAAGGATGGCTAAGTGCTGGTTTATTAAACTGCAAAGTGGAATTCTGGAGATAGAACGGGGAAAAAAAATTAATATATATGTTAAGTGGGAGAGTTATTTGAACAGTCGGAAATAGATCAATAGAGCAAGAGGGGCCAAATGGCAGATTCAATCAATAGACACAAACGTAGATAGTTTGGGGTTTCAAGTGGCACTCATTGCACACAGAATTAGCAACGTCTAAAATATTTCACTTTACAAAGCATTAAAACCATACAATAACGTTTTTTTTTATAAAAACCACAACATATCCCCCCAAAAGTACACCTCCCGCATCCACCGAGTCTATAGTTAGATCAGATCATTGATACAGGAGACCCGTTTCCAACAGTAATAGATCATATATAGTCAAAATAATATGAATTGTTCTCATCAGTGGTATGCTTTCTTCCAAACATGTTTAGCTGATTGCTTCTTCAGGGGTTGAGGTGAAAATATTTTATGGGGTGTCTATGGTCAGTAGCGATTCCTCAGTGTAGAGGGTGGGGGGGAACTTAACCTCCACTCCCCTACATACTGAATAAGCCTGGTGGGACCACATGGAGAGAAGGCAATCTAGGGCTTTGTGGGACATCACACTGTAGTGCGCCAATCTCCAATATTCTGTTGATGCAACTAAGCACCCAATCGGTAGATTAATCTCCCTCTTAAAAATCAATGGGGGTACATATATGCAGTCCCTTAACTCCAGAGACCAACTGGTAAACAAATCTCCTCCCTACAAAGGCCATCCAAATAGACCGCTCCTCAGCTCACCGCCCAGCCCTAGATTCAATCAATATACAAAGAAGGATTATGTGTACAGAGCCAAATTAAAGAGAACATCACAATTCTTCAATACGTTTCCTGTGTATAAATATTTTGCAGTTATTCAGAATACATCAGCTCCTGTTACCACGGTGGAGGTAACAGTCTGCTATGTGGGGCTTCTGGCAAAAACTGATGTCCAAGAGTTTAGGTTTTTCATCAACAATATATTCATACACCAATTAGAAATGGTACCCAAATGCAGAAATACTAAAAGAAGGTCGTTACATGTGTCTGAAGTTATTCTTTAACATAACAGTGAGTACATCAAAAAAATCTTCATAGTGTTTCTATAACTAAGACACAGCAGATGTTTTGATGCTTTTATAAAAACGGCCACAAGGATGACCGGTGGATAACACATACCCTTGTTTGTAAAGGTGCAAGATCACCCAAAGGTCTTTTCCAGCCTTTGTCACTTCCTGCACATAGTCCTGCCCAGAAATTTCCAGAACTTCCCCAAATGTATTCTTTATCTGTGACGCTTGCCATTGAGCCAGTCTCTGTCGTCTACAAAAGACAAACACATACCAACAAATGTAGAAATGCATGTTTTCCAAATCATAAAATAGCTTCTATTGATGCATGAAATATTGCCACTGGTTGTACAGGAACATTCTACCTACAGCAGACCATGAGGAAGGATACACAACAGTATTATCAACTGACACAAAGAGTAAGGGGTCATTCACACGTGCCTGTCTGCTATAATGTAGTGTTTTAGTGGACAGACAGAATACAAAGCTTTCAACGTGAAGATCCCAGTGAATCATTGCAAGCGTCTTTCAAAGATGGGCAGAAACCTTCTTTAGATTTACCATTTGGCACTTACCCAGTGTAAGATAATGTCCTACCTGCATAAATATTAGTCTGGCAGTATATTGGTGAACATCCTGTCATCAGCCTTTTCTCCTTCGAGTGGGTCCCTATTGTTTCCTCTGATACAGAGAAAAGTTTTACATTACTATCAATGTGCCGCTGTGGCTGTTGGAGGTGGTTGGGGTAGACAGAGAGCTCTCCGTCTGCCATAGGCATAGGAAACAAACATGCAATTTGGAGCTCTGGGTTTTCCCCAAGAAAAATTCTTACCATGTTAGGTGAAATGGTTCTTCCAACAGATACAAGTTGGCAACCTCTCCCCGAGTCCATGAATGTCTGCTCTAATTCAACAGGCCTGGCCAGATGGCGCTATGATTATGAAATGTCTGTGTGTATCTGCATAGTACAGTCTGCTGATTGTAGTATAATGTTGGGGCCAGATATCCTCTCATGTAGAGAAGAAAGGAAAAAGGAACGGTTAGCTATGTGGCTTAAATAGGCTGACCACTTCCTGAATTCTAAGAGTACCTAACAACGGCTCACACTGCATGAAATAACCTCAACGCAGGAGGCAAGTGTGGATGTAGCCCAAGAAAAGATGAAAAATTCTGACTGGTTGCTATGGGCACCACTATCACCAATACCTATTGGTTGTGTATTAGTATTATTAGTGTATTACCAATGTGTTTGTGTATTAGTAGCAACTCCTCACCTATACATTTCTATAGCTCGCTCATCCTCCTCATTAAACTCATCTTCATTCTCTTCTAGCTCTTCGAGTGTCATATCCTCATATGTTTTAACTGAAATACAAAAAAACACATACAGGGACATATATCTAGATTATTAGGATGCAAATCAGGCTGCTGGTCAGTTAGCAAAGCCTGTGTAACATATTCACTGTGTATTCGACTCCGGCACCTAGAATCCCAAGCAGTCAGCAGAGACAGTTTTGCACAGGTCTGTGACAGAACCATCACTTGAAATTAGGCAGATTTTCACTCCAGACAGAAAACACAAGATGTGGTTTGGGGGGGGAGAGATTTATTTTGTCACAATGCTACTTTAGATCTGCTGAGAGGGAATTTATGAAGATGAAACATAATCGGTGTCTCATAATCTGTCTCACTGCGCCTTACTGTGCGACAGAATTGATGCATGTTTTCCATAGTTTTAGATAGAGTAGGGAAGGGTAAAACGGTAACCCCTGCCATGTTATTGTTTTGCCATCTGTGAACCATTGGGGAAATCTCCCTTCTTATCCTGTCCCAGAGACACAACAGGAAGTGAATGATATCTACCAAAGCGAGGGAAATTCCACTCTTAGACCGTCGTTGCTGGAACAGGTGTCCCCATTGGAAGATTTCCCTCTACTTCGGGGACAGCAGGGACAATAGTCACAGGACAAATAGGGGTCTATTCACAAAAGGTTAAAGAGTTTGGAGAAGGCAGGAGAAGTGAACAATCTAGGACCCCAATGGGGACACAGACAGCATTAAAACTTAACTGAAGGATTAAACTTTCCTAATCCAACTGGAGAAAAAAAGGGGTTACTAGAAATACACTTTAAAGTGAACCTGTAAAGACAGATAGCTGGAGGCAGCCATTGCTGTGCTCTCCTTATATTGCTACTTACCAAGCAGTAATACTAATTCAATGACTTCAGTACCTTTTGAATCACAGCCCTGTAACAAGCATTCAGGTCAGGGGTACAGACTTGGCTTGTTGCAGGTTTCCTTCAAGCCAGTAACTCTGAATATACTGCTGTCAGGGAAAGCCTTGCATCTAGTATTTTCAGGAGGACAGCAATAAAAACCTCTATTCCTGCCTCCTTTGAAAGGGAAAGTAAGATATATTCACAAAGGATGAAGCTGAAAGGTCTGAACCCTGACCAAGACACATACTAATGACAACCTCAGCTGACCTATACAGAGGGGTTCAATTCAGTCTCCAAAATGTTACCACGACAATGGGAAAGAGGAGCCTGGGAATGTAGATGTTGTAAAACCCTTTAAACTGGCCATACAGTTTAAAGGGCCCTACTGACTCGGATGAAATTCAAACAGTTTGTGGCCCTGTTGACGTCCCTGGACTAAAAAAAAAGATTTTTCAATGAACCTTTGTTGAAAGAGTCTGAAAATCCTCTGCTGAGCAGTGACTGCAGCCGCGGTCACCGTTCAGGGACTATGACAGCTACACACCAACTGCTGTTAGAACACCATAGCCGGGCAGGGAAGAGTGCCCCATCCCAGGGCTGAACAAGAAAAAGCCAATAGTGTATGGCCAGCTTTAGCGAAGGTGATGAAATCTGCTGATTGCTCTCCCCTTTCACATAAAAATCTTCTTACCCACTGACTGCTGCATCAATATCCCTTCTTCTTCCTCTTCATCCTCCTTTGGTACCTCTTTGGGAGGTATGATACCTTTTTTTCGCAGGATGTCATTCCACTCTGTGTCAGCATTTGGGTCCTGAAATCAGACGGGCAATCGTATACAGTATATGATAACGGATTTAGGATGGACAATACCCAGACTATAAATACGGCTGTAATGTATATGATACAAGCTTTTAAAGTGACACGAAATTCAGAAGTAAAATCTTAAAAATACATTCAACTCTCTTAACTATTAATAAAAAAAATTTATCTTATTTGTGTATCACTCAGCTGTATATTCTCAAATCATCTCTGAATTGGTGCCGGCACTGTCCTTCATTCTGGAGAGTGGCTACTTTTCTTCCCCATGGTCCCTGTGTGTGTTGTAAAGTATTCACTGCTCCAAGCTTGCTCCCGTGATGGACTACAATCTCACATTTAGTTTACTAATTTGTATTGAGATTGTAGTCCATCACAGGAGTGAGCTTGGAGCGGTGACTACTTTACAACACACACAGGGACTATGGGGAAGAAACGTTGCCACCCTCCAGAAGGAAGGACAGTGTCAGCACCTATTCAGAGATGATTTGAGGATCTAAAGCCGAGTGATACACAAATAAGATACATTTTTATTAACAGCTAAGGTCCTTGAATGTATTTTTAAGATTTAACTCCTGAGTTCAGCGTCACTTTGAAATAGGTACGGTGAGGTGTTTGTTAGAAAAAGTCACCAAGCACAGGCTATACAGCAGAGCCACCTGTGAGGTACATAATACTGTATTCACCTGACATTAAGGGCTCATTCGTACCATGTGCGGTGACTGCACCTGACCAATGCCAGTTACCACAATGGCACATAGGAAACCTTTGTTTTCTGTGTGTCCTCTTTACACCACAGTGCTGCCTTAAGGTGGGTCGCAGTGCGGTGCGAAAAAATGTGGCCAAGTTGCATTTTTCGGTAATTCACCTCACTGAACCACTGATGTGCTGCCGTGAATACAAATGAATGAAATGTCACATTTCAATTATGTTTACAATAAACAAAAATAAAGGTAACAACAAGCAAGAAACAAAGCCCTCCCCCCCACCAGCTTATAATGGACACCGTACCCCAAAACGGGCCTTATGAGCATAAGAGCTGATGTGAGGAGCCCTATGACAAACCCTTTACAAATGTTCTTGAACATATTCAAGTGATTTTATGTGGAGAGGGAGAGAGCAGTGTAGGAGCAGAACCTTTTACTATTAGATCTAATGGATTGTAACATCTTCACAGAATCCATTCAGGGTGGAGCGTGTTGACACATAAGTCTGCTGTGATCCCGCTCTAGACGATTTTCACATTTAATCGTGTTTATGATTTTAAGACTGTACTTAATATAAGACTAGATGAGTACTCTATATACACCTCTATGTTAATCTCTATGTACTCTATGATAATATAAGACTGTGCATGTAACTGTATATCAATGGTTACAGTCAAATATAGAAGTGCTCCGGGAATAGATATTTTGTTATAATGACTGACATAATTATAGGATTGCGGTCTTCTTTATTCTCTTAAGAAGAGGACATTTGGTTTATGAAATGGGTTCACCATCCATTGTCCATGTCTGGACAGTATGTTGCATACTGAACTAACAGGGTTATTCACAAAAGGGTGACGAGTTTGGAGAAGGCAGCAATCTAGGACAACATAGCTGAACTGGAAAGTGAGCTGAATTGGCTATGTTGTCCTAGATTGGTCACTTCTCCTGCCTTCTCCAAACCCTTCACCCTTTTGTGACTAACCCTGTAAATATAATTGATGGTAGCAGCCATGTTTGTGGAATGATGGGGAACATATGTGGAGCATATAACCCAATACAAGTGTTCACTGAACAAGGCCAAGCGGAGACATGTATGATCAGAGTAGTGTGTACCGGGTGGAGGGTCCAGGGGTTAGGATTTTCCTGTGACTCACCTGCATTTTGTGTAGTTGTGGGTACAATCACAGCACAGCTTCTCCCTGCGGAAACCCAATGATTATACACGTCAGTGAACGTTCTTTCTTCTGTTACATTGGTTAGAATATGTTTCACACATTACCTTGAATACGCCAGCAGCTCAAACACACAGCGAGAGCATGGGGGAAGTTATTTCTTGTCACACCAGACACCACTTCCTCCCCGTTCCCATCTCCTTATTAGGAAACACATGCCACAAGGCCGTATACAGAGTGTGTGACGGGAGCAGCTGGGCTGTGCCCATATGTTCCATCAACAAAGGCATCCCCGGCATACCTTTATACATGTAGGCTCTTTACTTCCCCTGGAGGCATCCTGGCATACCTTTAGATGTGGACACTTGTTGTTCCCCTACTACAGGGACCCATTTACACTGGTTCACACTAAAGCCATGGTATCCGTGCATTTAGAGCAGGCTTTCACACAGCGCACGGCACCTGGGGCAATACATTCACGTACTAGCGTGCCTTGCAGTATACAAAATGCATGCAGTAATTTTTTTCACTGCATCCCACCATAACATTTGCTATTGCAGTTCCATGCTTGGCAGAGAAGTGCACCACATGCTCACCGGGTGGTGTGTTCGGGTGACATTCATAATGAATGGTAGAGCAACACATCAACGCACCTAGCATGCCGTGCATTGTGCTACACGATAGTGTGCGCTAAACGCACAGCTACCATGCCTTTAGTGCAACACTATAGTGTAAATCAGCCCTTTGCTGTCCTTGTGCGTTGCGTCTTGTGTAAGGGCAACCTATTCATTTTGCATGGGCTGCCAATGCAGCAGAATGTGGAATGCATGGTAGTGGGTAACCATATGTTTTACAAAGTCACTGCCATGCCCTTGAAGCTACACACCTATAGTACAGAGTTAAGGGACTGTTCGTACCATTGTGCTGTGTTATTGCACGATCACATGTGTGTTGCATTAAGGCAGCCCATTCATGTTAATGTGCTATCTGCGTTATGCACCACAAAGGTCCATGTAGCATTTCCATCAGCACACCACATTGCAACACATGTAAATGTGTTAATGCATTGCTATCAGCAAGGAATGTTGGAGTGCCATTCAGAATAAACGTGTGCAATTCACAATGATGTGAGTGGACACTTAGGTCCTGTTCACACTGGTCTGCCCAATAATATGCTCAGTTGTAGTGGATGACCTAGTGTGTTTACTTTTTTTCTTAACTTTTTTTGCAGCGTGCCCATTGTTCACTCCAGGTCCCTGAACTGCAGTGTGATGATCCACAATGCTGTCCAGTGCGCCATGACAAAATGTAGCATATTTGAATTGTTCACAGGGCACCGCAGATCACACCCATGTTGTGGTGTGAATAGGGCACATAGAAAACAATTGTGCCTTAGCAGTGACTGTCATTGTTCAGCGCATGTAGTGTGAACTGTACCCACCACAGCAGCACCTGTCCCCAACTTCCAGCAACAGATTTTACCAACTGTTCCTAAAACAGCAGCACCAGTCCCTGTTTAACAGCAAGCTTCCAGTCATAAAGACTTTACTAACTGCACACCCCAACTGTGTGTGGGATCCCACATTCCAGAACCAGGGAGAGAAATGCTTCTTCCAGTGCCTGATATGTGCCAGTACTGTCGGGGGGTGGTGATATGCCTGATAGTGTTTGCATAAATTCCCTACTGACCCTTTCCCCACCGACACCAATGCCTATTGTTTTACCTATTGACGCCAATGATTTTTTTACCTATTGACACCAATTTTTTTTTTATGCCAAGTGACACCACTGTTTTTTGTTTTGTTTTTTTACCCAATGACAACAAAGTTTTTTTTACCCAATGACACCAAAGTGTTTTATTAACCAGTGACACCAATGTTTTTGTACCCACTCACACCAATGCTAGGGCATTCATAATCCTGCTGACCACCAGTGTCGCAGCATTCTTCCTCTCACAGACACACATGGCAGACATTTTTCCACTCACTTACCCTGAGACGTTCTACCTTTTGATGCTGGGGTATTTTTTTCTCCCACTTGCCCTGACTAGTTCTTCCTGTTGATGCTGGGGTATTTTTCTTCCTCCCACTTACCCTGACATGTTCTTCCTTTTGATGCTGGGGTGTTTTTCTTCCTCCCACTTACCCTGACTAGTTCTTCCTGTTGATGCTGGGGTGTTTTTCTTCCTCCCACTTACCATGACACATTCTACCTTTTGATGCTGGGGTTTTTTGTTCTCCCACTTGCCCTGACTAGTTCTTCCTGTTGATGCTGGGGTATTTTTCTTCCTCCCACTTACCCTGACACGTTCTTCCTTTTGATCATGGGGTATTTTTCCCTCCCACCTGCCCTGACATGTTCTTCCTTTTGATGCTGGGGTATTTTTCTTCCTCCCACTTACCCTGACACGTTCTTCCTTTTGATGCTGGGGTATTTTTCCCTCCCACCTGCCCTGACATGTTCTTCCTTTTGATGCTGGGGTATTTTTCCCTCCCACCTGCCCTGACATGTTCTTCCTTTTGATGCAGGGGTATTTTTTTACTCACTTACCCTGAGACATTCTTCCTTTTGATGCTGGGGTATTTATTTCCTCCCATTGCCGGTCTCTTATCCACCGCAGACTCCTCGGGTCCCACGGTGTCTGTCCGACGTGCGTGATCCCGGCTGCGCCCATCTAGTTTTAGTTTCTCTCCTCTTCCCTCCGCTCTACTGCGCATACGCCCACACACTTATTCTTTAAAGCCGGTCGAGAGCCTAATTTTAAATATTTTTGAATCATGGGGCATATATCTACTGCTTCCTAGCAGTAGATATCTGCCAAAATAAGAGACTTTAATGATACTTTAACCCAGCACTCTAAACATTATGCGGTTTATTACATAGTCCTGGTAGCCAAAGTGTTTTAGGCCACATTTACACTGGGCGATTTTGGACTCCTGTGGCAGGAACCCCCGCATTCCTGTGGCAGGAAGGAATCTCAGAAGTCCCATTTAGAAGCGGCTTGTTGTACCCATTCAAGTTAATGACCAGGTAACAGCGGCCGCAACTGTAAGCGACAGTCCACATATAACCATATGTGATATGATTATGTGCTTTGAAATAGATGATTGTTGCCGAACGCATCTATCCTTCTTCTAGGGAACAATCATCTATTCCAAACCGCATGTAATCGTATCATATACACTTCACATGGTGCATTTCTGCACATTTGTTATGCAGGGGGCAGCCCATTCATTTTAATGTCCCCCCGCACCTTTTTAAACTACAAACGTTTTTTGTTTAGGGTGTCTATTTGTGGTGTTATTAACAATGAATGGCATCCCAAGCAAGATACACCTTTTTCAAGCGTTTTGAGAATGCACACAAAATCCTGCTACACTAGTGGACTGTAGCCACTAGTAACTGACTTGCAATCAGGAACTCTGCAGACAGCTTGTAGCTCTGTCTAGTTAGGGCTGGTTCACACCTGTGTTTTGCAGTACCACATGGAACCCATGTATCACAGTGCATTGTGTAGGTATTCATTCTTAATAGCACCCCAGCGCACTAACAAACTTCAGTGCAGCACACATACTTTGTAATGCACAGATGTGAACAATCTGTGTTGAAAGAATTGTGGCATGCAGCATCATTTACACCAGATTGGTTGGGGCTGAGCTAGCTGTTTTTTTTCCAATGCAGCCCCAACGAAAGACAAGGCAATTTGTCTTGTCACGGATGGGAGCAAATCACATCACCACATTGCGGTGGAACATGGTTGTGTGCACTGAATAAAAGCAGTGCATACTGTACTTTTTTCAGCACAGTGGGATTTGATGTGGTACAACCGCCTCACACCACGTTGTGCCCATAGACTATGTTGAAGTGTCACTTGTAACATTTCAATAAAGTTCTAAAAAAAAACACTTAACAGTGCCAAGTGCCGGAGTTCTGTCGAAATAACCAACTTGTCGAGATCTCCGACTCATTATGTCATGTCCGGTGACTTGCCAGTAGGAGATTCGGGCGAGATGGTGCGAGTGCCAGCCGTGGCAGTTTCAGAATCTTGTCAAAAAGGGTATTTCACAAAGCTGCCGAAGGATCCAGCCGTAGATTCGGCTGAGGGAGCCTTTCGGTTCAGTCAAACCAAAGGGCTGCTGTACGGGCTATTGTGCAGCAGCTGAAGGCAGCCGAGCTGAGCCAAACGACCTGCTGAAGGCCAGCTGTTTGCCCCGCAAATGACAGCTGGGCGGAGCCAGCCGTGAGCTCATGGCTGGCTCCGCCCAGTTGTAATGACAGATCAGCATCCCCAAATGACCTCATTGATTTTCTATTCTGCTCGGTAATTAGCAGAATGCCGTTCAGCGGCATTCGGCTATTCACTCACTGCCGTTCGGCCCCTATGGGAATAGGGGCCGAACGGCATCGAGTGAGCTGCTGGAGCTTCGCCTCAGCCAATCCAGATTTTGGATCGGCTGAGCCGAAGTCCTTCTGCACAGCCAAACATGCCGAAGTGCGGCCAAAGGTAGCCGATGTATGGCTCAAATCAGCCATACTGAGCCGGAGTGAATAGTCGAACGTCATTCGGCTCACTTCACTTTGGCTCAGTTATGCACTCGGCTGCCTTCGGCAGCTTTGTGCATAACCCCCAAAATCTCCTACTGAAAAGTAACCGGACGTGGCGTAATAAGTTGGAGATCTCAACAAGTTGGACATTTCGATAGAACAACGGGCACTGCACACCAGCTGCTGTGCAATGTAGTTAAGGGCTGGTGCGAATTGGCCCTCAAAATGAAGGGGCTGCTAAACGCAACGCACATAGATAGAACGCACGTGAGTTACCGAAATGCACAGGTGTGAACAAGCCCTTAGGACTCACACAAGATGGCAACCGGAGTCCACGAATGCAGACACACTGTGCCGAAGGCTGGTGTACTAAAATGACTCAGTGTCAGTGTACAGCCGCACTCGTAGTGTCGTGTTTCGCCGCTGTACATCAAAAGCAATCAACAAGCAGAGAGTGAGTGCTAGGAAAACATTACATAGCATTCCTCCACTGCCTTTAATCCCGCCCTTTTTACAAGTATTGTGGCCTTGTCACGTGACGGATAGGTCACCTATGTCATTTTAGCGGCTAGGACGGCCTCCTGTCAGCTTGGTGCGATGACGTCACTCGGGTGAGCTCTTCTCTGGTCGCGCTTTGGTGATGTCAGAAAAGTAACGGCTTCGATTTCCATGGTGAAAACAAATGTATGTTTTGGGACAAACGGGTGAGTGA